GTTGAGACTTATGGAGGCCTAATCCATTATAATCTAAATATCTGTTATGTTTTCTACAATCTTAAAAAAAAAAAAAGAGTGTATTAATGATTTGAAAAAAAGATACCTTTTATTAGAATTTTTTTTATCAATATTTTGTTTGTTTTGTTTTGTGTTCTTTTGCATTTAGATGTTTTTGTTGCATCAAAAAAAAATTGTTAAAAATCATATTTTAAGCTGATAACCATTGCTTAAAAAAAATAACCTCAATCCCATTCACCTACTGTCTAAAAATTTTGATATCACATGGCAAAACCTTTTTTCTTTTTAAAGGATTCCTTGATTGGGGTAAGAACATTTGACCAGTCCTTGTATGTTGAAAAGTTATATAATTTTGAGCAGTTTCTCACACACACACATGTATATGTGTGTGTATGTGTTGAGTAATTAAAATCTTGGTAATCCGTATGGATAATCCCAAGGAGCATGAAATCCAGATAGCTCAATGCTAAATCAGAGCGAATAATTTAATTTAAAGAAAACCAGACAACTTTAAGGTTCCATAAAGTTATAATTTATTTCCCTAGGGATCTTCTTGTTTCCTGGATCATCAGACCTCACTTCCAAGTATGAAAAAAATTGAATTTAAACTTAGGAGTAGTATTCAACTGATGTAAGGTGATATAGTGAGTGGTGAGAGATAGTGTAACAGATATGGTCGAAATTAGAGAGGAAAGGGAGAGATATTAATGCTTTTAAATTAATATCTCATTAATGCCATTAATATCTCTCCCTTCCTTCTCTAAGTTTGACCATGTCTGTTACACTATCTCTCACCCATCTCTATATCACCCTACATAGACTGAATACTACCCTCCAAAAGTGTAAGTTTAAATTCAATTTTTTCATACTTGTAAGTGAGGTCTGATTATCCAGGGCACAAGATCCTTGGGGAAATAAATTATAACCTTATGGAACCTTAAAGTTGTCTGGATTTCTTTAAATTAAATTATATGGGTCAAAGACAAATTGGAATCTGAAAGAATGATAGGATAAAGAACAAGTAGGAAACATGTTTCACTTTTATTAAAGCTTCATCAAAGAATGAGATACAAAGAAAGAAAGAAATTCTGATATTTTTATGTTTGTGTTGTTTGATTTTCATTTGTTAAGCAGGCTTTTGTGCATTTGATTTGTTAAACAGTGTTAGTATAAGTTATAGTGTTCCAAACTCAAGGAGAAATGATGCATCCTTTCAAATCTCTATTAAAAAAAAGTAACAGATTCTTAACTGAAAAAAACAGAAATATTGATTTATGTAAATGTATTGTAATTCTAGTTTGTCTATGTGGCATTCAGATATTAATGTATATTCGTAAGTGTGTGTGTATGTGTGTTTCAAGTAGTCGTCATTTTATGTTTGGTGATTGTCCGCATGTTGATTTGGGTATGCTTTTATATAAACTCCAGTTGTGGTAGATAAACATAGGTTAAATTCTTTAAGAATAGATTTAATAAAGGTTGGTGTTGTAATATAGTGTTTTTTAACAGGTATTTATAGCTGGTAAAAACTAAAACATTAGATTTATGTTTCCTATTTGTTCTTTATCATTATATATATATATAATATATATATATATATATATATATATATATAATCATTTGAAATAAATTTTGGCAAACTTGGACCTTTGTGCCCACAAAAAATGGAGTGTCAACAGGATAGTTTTTCAATTGATACCACTTTCATTTTAACTACTTTTCATCCTCGGCAATGTTTGTTTTAAAAAGCAATGATTAGAATTGTAATAAAACCTAATCATATGAAAGTGAATTCATACATTTTTTTCTTTTTGAGAATTGGCATAAAAATAGTAAACACTATTTATTAGATTATTTATTTACAAGAATAATTTTATATTTATACCATTCTAAAAAATGCAATATTTATCATTTACCAATTTATAAAGAAATATGAAAACAACTTTTTATTAATCAACTTAAAAAAGTTTACTAAATTATTGAAATATGTGGATCAACTATAAGAAAATCCTTATTATTTACCATTTTATAAAATTCAAATCAATTGCCAATTAGTCGATGTTTTGCCAACCATTCCAATAAAAATATAATAGTGTAAATAAACAATCTAATAAATAGTGTTTATTATTTTCCTTGTCAATTCTCAAGAACAAACAAAATGTATAAATTCACTTTTATATGTTTAGATTTTATTAAAATTCTAATCACTGCTTTTTAAAACAACCATTCTCAAGGAGTGAAGGTAATTAAAATAATGGCTACGTCAATGGAAAAAACAGTCCTTTTGACACCCCATTTATTTGTGCGCATGAAGGCCCAAGTCTGCCAATTTTTTTAAATTACTTGGATTTTGGGAATTTTTGTTTTATTATCAGTATATAATGGAAATTGTTATTTATCTGTAGTTTTTCTCATATTTTATCTGACCCATTCTCTGGTGAATTTTGCCAAGAGTAATGTTTTTTCATTGGCTTAGTTCTTCTGACCTAGTTTGTTAAAAGTCTGGAAAGTTAAAAAAAATTGGCACATATGGTATCATCAAACAAATCCATTTGTTGTTCTAATATGGGAGATCTATATCCTTAGGACTCTGTAGTAATGATGATTTAAAAAATGGCAACATAAACAGTAAACTTCATCAGTAAAAACATGCCAAGTGGACATCTGTTCAAAGTAGCAATTTGTTAATATCATTATGACCATAGAACTGACAAAGATTTTTATTTTATTTAATTTTCTAATGCTATGTCCCTTCATGGTTTTTCACAGATTTCTTTTTGCTGTCTGTGAATTGCCTTTTTGGAAATATAGTTCAGTGGTTTCCTGAGTTTTCCTTTTAGACTGGTTGCCACCTAAGCCCAGTCTGCTATTTAATCCATAGCTGGAATGAGAAATTGATTCAAGCCTTCCAAACGGCATTTGTGCAAAGTGAAATGCAACAGGCTAGGCTGTAATTTGAACTCTACTTGGTAATTTCACTCTCTGTGCCAATTACCACTACGCTATCCACACATCCAACAAAGCTTATACACAGAGTGGAACAATTTTCTGGTGCAACTTTTAGTGGTGAACATGAAATCATATGAAAAAAAATGAAAAGTTGGAAAAATGGGTGAAACTATTTAGTTTTGTTGTGACAAAACTAAATGAATTGGTAAAAATATATCAGGGCTGAGATGAGATGACAAGATTATAAGTAGAATTAAACTGATAATGAGACTCTGTACTGGTAAAAAAAAAAAACTCACCATGCCGATATATAATTTTTTTTTTTTTAATTTGAAATTTGATGTTATTATTTTTACCCTCTCCTATTTGTTGAATAATAGATAGTTATATATCTTTAGATAGATCCTTTCCACCTTGTCTATTTCCTGTGCCACTCTTTCCATTTTAGGAAAATGTACTTTTTTCAGATTTCATATCCATGAATTTTGTATTGTTGGAAAGCAATCACTACAGCAGTATCATTTGATTTTGAATTAAGTTAACTGGTTTTGGGGAACAACAAATTAAATTTCATTGCATCTATTTTTGTGGGGTACAATTATTATATGTGATAGGAAGTAGAAACAAAATCTATAATCTTTCTTTGTAAATAAGTTACACTTTTAGAATTGGTCAATTGGGAAAAAGGTCAAAAAACATAACTGGCATAAAACATTGGAATTTAAATTGTTATATTAAGGTTTGACATTTTAGAGTTCATAATGTATATTTATTTTTTTTATTAGGTATTGTTTTCAGACTTTGTCAAGTCTTACATAAAAAAAAAGTTCATAATTTTCAACTAAGTGTATATTTGAAAAGGCAGAAAAGTTTTTTTTTTTTTTGCAGTACCATCTCTTTGGGATAAAAAAGAAGTTAAAGCTTCCAGAATGAACTTTATTATATTACATAGTTTTTCTTCATACTTGTCCCCTCCCAGAGATTCCTAGCCATATGTCCAGGCCCACCTTCTACTGAGAGACTCAATCCTACATCCTGCATTTCCTTCAACTTGAGGAACTCCTAGCCATGCATCCATGCCATCCTTCCTACCCTGTGGGACTCCTAGATATGCTGACAACCTCCTTTCTGCTCAGGGGGACTCCTAGCCATGCTGTCCTCTTCCTCTCTGTCTAAATGGACTCTGCCGCACTGTCAAGCTCTCCCACCAAGAGACTGTCCCTATTTCCCATTGAGGGGGCATTTAGCCAGGTGCCCCACTCTTGAGGGAGATTTTTTTTTTCTGGAAACTTTTGCACACATCTAATAGATTAATTTATGCATATTCTACTTTCTCTTCTGCTAAGGTTAAGTTTTGGAGAAAATAAAGACAAAAAGGAAACTAATACTTAACATCAGGAAGAGAGAGTTGAGGTTTCTGTGGCAGATAATGAGGTATAATGAAGAAGAGGACTTAAAAAATTTGATACTCACAGGACAGAGGGTAAGAGGTTACAGAGGAAAATAATGCATAACACACTTAATGAGCTTGAGTAAATGGATGGTGGGACAGGGCTTAGGAGAAATAACATAAAGACAAAGTTTATTAATAGCTACAAGGGACAGGAAGTTGTGGAGAGCCATGAGCGTTTTCAGACACAGGGGACATGGCACATAAAGAAAGGACAGAAGGAGTAGTCATTATATATAAGGAATGATCTAACCATGTATACGAGTCATTTTTAACTTTCCCTTTTTTACCATCAACTTTGTCACTGAACTATTTATATGATTTGATTTTACTTTTTAGTCCCATTGTTGGTTTTTCTTTTGAACTATTTATGTCTAGATATAGAAATGCATAAAAGATGATGTATATTCCTCAAACAGTTTTCCTTTTATTTGATCAATAAATGGGGTTTAGTTTTAATATTCTCACCATCTTAAGAACGTTCTAATACGTGACCACCTATGAGGATATATTTCTGAGAAAGACGGGAATTTTTTTCTTTTTTTGTTTAAAACCAACATTCTACCATCTTGTATTTCAGGGCTCCAAGATTTATGGCAAAAGAAACTTGATGTATATCCCCATTTTAGGCTGGATTTGGTACCTCACTGAAAGCATTTTCCTGAAGAGACATTGGAGTGAAGACCAAAAAACTCTTATTCATGATGTGCAGCAACTGACAGAGTTCCCTGAAAGATATTGGGTGACAGTGAGTTGTTTTACTTACTTTCTCTGTTATTAGAGGTTGTTTAAAAAGAAATGTGTTTTTACAGATGAAATTTAAAAAAAATCTGTTCAAATGCCACAAAAGTTAAATTTATCAAGAACATAAACATCATTATCAGCAATTACTAAAGTCTGTTGTAAAACAAAATCTTTTTATTGTATGAAATGTGGATTTATAGTGAAGATTGGCCACCATTCAGTCGGACAAAGTTGGAAATCTCATGAAAAAAAAAACTCATTGGCTGGTTTTAAGTCAATTTAACTTTATTACTCAAATTTGAGCTTGAAACTAGGGTGATCTACATTGATCTTGTTAAATACATACACAGGGTTGGCACTACCTATAAATCTAAACTCTTTCGGGCATAGACCTCTGAGGAGTATAGAAGAGGAAGTAAATACTACAGACCCTACAAGAAAAAAAATCTTTAGTTTACTTGTAATAAAATTATGTAATGAAGTATAGGTTTATACATCCATTTTTGAATTGGTCTCTAACAAATCAATATTTTAACAATGAATTTCTGCTTTTCTCTCTGAATAGCCTAGTTGATTAAACCATTGGTTTGTGAATTTGGTGACGTTGTAATTTTGAGTTCAATCCCTGGGCGGGGCAGTATGTACTTGGACTCTGTGGAAACAGGGTATACAGTAGGTGAATACTAAAGAATAAGAACAAGGCAAGATATCTCTAGGCATGAGCGGTCACTTGAGAAGAGTGTATCTCTGTAGATTAGGTAAAGGTTAAGTTCAGAATTGTGTGTAGGTTACCTGGATCAACATAGACCTGATGAAACATTGTGATAACAACACCAAAGAAAATGAGGACAATAGTCTTCATGTAACATTTTCCACAGACATAAAGTCGAAAGATTATATTGAATCAATTGCTAGGTATGCTGCTAGGAAAGTTAGTTCGGGCTCGACAATTTTTTTCGTCAAAATCTATCTTACACATTTACAAATTTACTACTTGTTCATGCATTGAATATTGCTGCCACATCTGATCTTGTGTTTCTATGTATTTAGAGATTTTTGATAAAATAGAATAAAATCTGTAGTGTTATTGGTCCTGTCCTGGCATCTTGGCTTCAGTCATTTTTTCCACCACTGTAATGTAGTTTCCCTTGGCTTTTCTTTAAATATTTTCATGGTAATTGTTCTGATGATTTTTCTTCTTTTGTATTAGTTAGGACTTCATAGAGAATTTGCAGTATGTTGATGACTGTAGTAAGAATGGTAAGTAAGAATGTGTTGATTTGGTGTAAGGAAAAAAAATTATTACCAGCAATAAAGTTTTTAAGGAAAAATTATCATCAGAGATACAATTTTGAAGAAAAAATTATTACCAGCAAAACAGTTTTGTAGGAAAAATTATTACTAGCAATGCTTTTGTGAAGGAAAAATTATTGCAATACATTTTTAAAGGAAAATAATTACAAACAAAATATTACCAGCAATACATTTTTGGAAAAATATTACCAGCAGTACATTTCTTTGGAAAAAAAATATTATCAACAATACATCTTTTTGAAAAATATTACCAGCAATAGATTTTGAAAAAAAAAAAATTCAATAGATTTTTGAAGAAAAAAAAAACATTACCAGCAATAAAAATTTTGTCAGAATTAAATAACCCATTGAGGTTGATATGCTGTAAGACAAAAGAAACATAACCAGTCAAGTTTGATCTTCAAAAAATTTAAATGTGTTGTATAGGAATAAAGTGTCATTGTCGACACCATAGTTTGAACACAGATCACTAGTAAGCAAACACGGACAATTCCATTATTAAATAAGTAGCTCATGTGATCATAAATTAACCATGTAAATGGGAATTAGCATGACGTCTAAGTGATCGCTATTCTCTAAACTATCCACTATACTATTTCTCTATACTGATCAATATGAATTACTATTCGGCGATTACTATTTGAACAAGTATTATTAGTAGGCATTACTACTACCAGTGTCTGTGGTTCCAAAGTCTCTACTACAGCAAGCATTATGAACATGACAATGACAAGGGTGTCTAAAATCACAAAAGTGACCATGAGGATTCATTCAACTTACACAGATGGAAAAAATTAATCTGCAGGAAAATGGAAGAATTAAAGGCTATCATGGTTCAAATGTTTCAGCAACAAAAAGTATAACAGTACTACAATTGCAGCAACTGAAATAGCACCATGAACAGCAGTTGCAATTACAATTACAGCAACAAAAGTTTTTAGAGTTCTTTACAAAAACAATGGAAACAAAATCTTCAGATTTGTTCACTCCTGATGCTGTTGCTAATTCAATTACCAAGTTTGTCTACAATCCGGATGAAGGGATAACTTTCTCATCTTACTATAGAAGATATAAAGGTATCTTCAAAAGAGATTGTTTGCATTGGAATGATGAATAATAACCAAACTTTTTTTCATATATAAAATCCAGGATATTTTCTAAATTAGAAATAGATCCAAAATAAACTCTCCAGAGAATAACGGAAGAGTGTCAGTGTATTGTGAATTTGAATTCAATACCGCAAGGATTGAGGAAAATGACAATTCACAAATACAATGTGTCCGAGCAACTAAGAGGAAAAGCTACAAACGTTTTTCAACTCCTAATAGAACTATAAGGAAAGACTATAAACCCTCTGTAATACCTAATACTTGCTACAGCTGTAGAGTTAAGCATTTTAAGAGCAATTGTTTCTTGAAAAACAAATGCTATGAGTATAGGGAAACTAGGACACAAAAGTGCATGTTGCAGATCCAAAAATAGAGAAAAAGTAAAATGCATGTGAACAGAATAAATACATGCAGTAACGAAAAGAAAGCTTCGCAAAAGAGGAATTTTTTTTTGTGCAAATTAATAATGTGAAGATAAAATTGCAATTAGACACAGGATCGGATATCGCTATTATAAACGAACAGACTCTGAGGAAAATGAGTAAACCCAGTTTATTAACTTCTGATAAAGTTGCTTATGGAGTCTCAAGAAAGAAGAAATTAAATGTTTGGAGTAAATTCAGCTGTAACATTTCTTTGGTTGGAAAAATGGAAGAGTGGTAGTATTTGTGTTAAAAAATACTGCTAATTTGTTTGGTACAGACTGGATTGTATTGTTTGATCAGTGGGACCTCGCAATTAACTCTTTTTAAAATAAGATAAATATTGTTGCCAGTACTAATACAGAAACTGAAAAATTGAAAAATGAACAGAAAAAGAGTTTTTCAGAAGTTTTCTCTGAAGGTCTAGGAACATGCACAAAAGCAAAATCTAAGTTTCAGTAACACCTACATTTAAGCCAAAAAGGAGTGTACCTTCTGTGTCTTTAGATCCAGTCAACAATGAATTGGACGAGCTAGAGAAATTAGGAGTAATATCAAGAATAGACTATTCTGAATGGACATAACCAACAGTCTACGTTAAGAAATGGAATAAAAAAAACAGCATAACTACTTGTTACCAAATTGTAAATTTTTGCCAAATTGAATGGAGGTAAATTTTTCTCTAAATTGGACCTATCAGACGCATGCTTACAAGTACTTGTTGATGAAGACTGTTCAAAATTATTAACAATTAACACCCATAGAGAGTTATATAAATTCAACTGTCTTCCTTTCAGTGTAAAGGTAGCACCAAGCATATTCCAACAGATAATGGATACCATGGTTGCCTGGTTGGATTTTGCTCAAGCATATTTGGATGACCTGAAAACAATATACTGAAGATCTAAAGAAAGTCTTTGAGAGAATCAAAGAATATGGCTTTAAAATAAGTGTAGAAAAATGTGAGTCATTTATGTCCAGACTCAAATATCTAGGGCAGATTATTGATGAGAACAGTAGGCGACCGGACCCTTCAAGGGCAAGCATGATAAAGGATATGCCTGCTCCAACTAATATAACAAAACTACAAGCATTCTTAGGTTTTGCAAACTATTATGCATGAGTTTAGAGCACCATTAAATAACCAACTGAAGAAAGATGTCAAGTAGAACTGGACAGAAAAATGTCAAAGTGCATTCAAAGAAACATCGGATTTTTCACTAGCTCATTTTAACCCTAAAGATTGTGGTTGCATCAGATGCAAGTGATTCAAGTATTGGATCAGTGATATTACACAAATATGATGACAGAACAATGAAGCCAATAGTGCATGCTTCAAGATCATTAATTGCGGCTGAAAGAAGCTACTGTCAAATAGAGAAGGCAGCATTGGCCATCATATTTGCCATGAAAATGTTCCACAAATTTTTACATTGTAGAGAATTTATTTTACAACCAGGCCATCATCTGTTGTTGTCCATATATGGATCTAAAAAGGGTGTTCCCACACACACATGGAATAGATTGCAGTGCTGGGGAACTATCCTATTAAATTATAATTACAAAATGGAATTTCTACCATCTAAGAAATTAAGTCATTAATTAATTAAGAAAATACTATGGAAAATAGTACGTTTTCATTATGCAGTGGTGTACTGATGTACGCTTGAAAGAGTGGTAATACCAGCTATGTTAAAAGAATTTCATAGAGGACATTCAGGGAGATTTCTAGCATGAAATCTTCAATGAGATGCTATACACTACTGGCCAAACATGGATAAGGATATAAAAAATTTGGTAAAATTATGCAGAGGTTGTGCTCTGGCAGTGAAGTCACCACCTATCAAAGTTTAACCCTGGCTGACAACTGATATGCCGTGGTCTAGAATACATATTGACTTTGCAGGACCAATGAATGGAGCATACTATCTAAATAGTAGCCGATAGTTATACTAAATGCCCAGAAGTACTAAAATGCAGGAGACCGACTACCACAGTAGCTATAAATTTCTTACATTAAATTTTTGTGAGGTTCAACGTTCCTGACTCTATCATGTCATAACAGGACACAATTCACATCTAGTGAATTCCAGTTCTTTTGCAAATCATTAGCAATTGAACATATCACAACTCCCCCTTATCACCCCTTAATGGAAAAG